TTATTTAAGTAAATGCTTTTGTTTTGTTTTTGTTTTTTTTCTCAAATTTTATTAAACAGTATTAATTACATTTACTGGTCTGAATGTTTGAGAAATTTTGCAGGGAATATTTACATCATTGTTTAGGTTAAGTGATGTATTATTTTACTTGTGTGTGTGTTTTTTCTTTTTTTTTAAGCTTCTACTCGGTTCTTGAACTTTCCATACTGTTCACTAGTTTAGTCTGTTTCAGTTCAAAATAAAATCTTTATTTTTAATTTCTTTTTAATCATTGTTAATTCACTCATTTAATATTTATTAATTTAATAATTATAATCAAAATTATGTAATATAAACACAAAATGAATTCACTTTGTCTCTTTTAAGACTTTTTTTTCTTTTTCTTAATTTATAAAAAAAGAAAAAAATGAATGTATGGAATTTCAGTTAGTGTCACATTTGATTTCTTCACGTAAAAAAGTTGTTTCACAAATTGTCCTCATGGTGAGACAGTTAAATTATGACAATTTGTTTGTATCCATAAAATCATTTTTCTTTATGCAACAAAGTTAAATTGTATTTTATCCCATTTTTTATCTGGCATGACCAAGCTATAGTTTTTTTTTTCCACTTTTAACATGATTTGTTTTAATATTTTTAAAATAAAACTAGTAGAATTTCATCTTCTAATAATCTAATAAATAACTGAAGAAAAAAATACACATTTGCAATTGTCTTCATCTTTATGAACATTTTAACCATTTTTAATCTTATTTTTATTTTAATGCTTTGTAACAGTTGAATGATCAAGTTGGATATCAGCATTTATAATTTCATGATTAAATATTTTAGATAAGATTTGAAGACCCTTTATTTAAGTTGCTGTAATAATTCATATTTAATTCTTATTAAACGTTTGTAAGCAAACTTAAAATTTGCATTTTATTTTTTATTCACTTTCCTGCAAGATAAAGTACTCCTTGTACTTTATCAAAATATGCATTAATTAAACCACAATACATAGGAAAATGCCTTTTTGCTTAGAATATTATTGTATTATTTTGTAATGTTCTCTCAAAAAAAAAAAAAAAAAAAAAATATATATATATATATATATATATATATATATATATATATATATATATTAGGGTGTCTCTATTTTTGAAGTATATGCAGAAATTGAATTGTCATCCATAAATTTGTTCCATTCATTGAAAAATGACACAAAATTTTAAGGAGAGTGCATGATATTTAGAGGGAGGGCAACTTTGCTTGTTAAAACTTAAAAGGTAGACAAAAAATAAACCCATTTTTTTCTTTTACAATTAATAACAAACCATTATTAGTTGAATCTTTACAAATTATGCACATTAGAAAACAAGAAATATTTTTTATCAAATGGTGAAAAATTAAATTTTTTAACCAATGTTTATTATTTTCAGACCCTGTTATGAAACAGCAAAAAAACTAAACGCTTATTTACATTATTCATGGGACATATACCTCAATTTCAACTCCCACCATCCATATATTCAAAAAGAAAAGGATGAATAATTTACAACCCATTATGTCGAGTTTTATTATTTAAAGTGTCTGATCAATTTCTTAGAGACATTAGATAAAGAATTGGTCAGTGTAAGTAGTTTTGGTTATTTCAACAACCACTCTGGGTATTTGGCAGCTCCCCAAAAAATGGAATAGGCAGGTACAAATTAGGACAACAACACTCAAGAAAACAATCTGTTTTGAATTTTATGTGAAAGGAGTTATCAGAGAAAATGCAAAGGATCTGTGGTCCATATAACATCACGACAACCTTCAAAAGTTGGACGACACTTGCAGAGATATCTTTTATTAGTTAGAGTTTAGAGGAGAACATGACTAAAGACATTGTAGGACTATTGTGCAGCTGCGGAAAGAAATATAAAGGGGAGACAGGCCGCCCCCTTAGGGTAAGACTTCAAGAACACCAGAAAGCTGTAACATGAGGGGAAGCGGAAAAATCAGGCATGGCTAACTATATATGGGAGATCACTGCCCTCTGTGGGATCAGGTTGAGATCATAGGCAAAGAACACCATTGGAAAATTTGTAAACCTAAGGAATCAGCACATATAGTAAGCCACAAAAATCTCCTGAGCTGACCAAGCATAGAAATGAATACAATATGGGAACCAGTAATAAGGAGTGCCAGAGAAAGGCAATAACAACAACAACAAAAAATTGCAATATGAGCTCTGGTAAAAACATGTAATGATAACAGCAAAAATTGCAATATGATCATTGGTAAAAAATTTGGTTGCTGAAGACATTAGGTTTATAATACCCAGATATTCACACAGATGTCCTCAAGGATGCATGGCACAGTGGATAAAGGCGTCAGTTAGATCCAGTATGGGATAACGTACAGTGACAGGCCCTAAAGTGTATGAGTTCAATACTTGGTTAAGGCGGTGGAGAACTTGGAGAGGGAATTAAGCAGGAGATAAGTGATAACTGACATCCATTAGACATGGCATGTGGAACTAGAACAGTCTACTCCAGTGAGCGAAATAAAGGGTTCAGTTCAACATTCCAACCACCTTATGAAGGCCAGAGCGTACAGCAGCCGAAAAGTTGTAATAAATATGGCGACAAAGATGAGGACAATAGTCCGAATAATGTAAATAGTGTACATAACTCCTCTCAGAAATATGGACAGATAGAAAAGTGTAGTTTGAAAGTTTTCTACTGAGTCAAAGTAAAGCAATATGTCAACATATTGACATATGTTAAAGAAAAAAAAAAATTCTCTTTGTTTAAACTCTTACATAATTTTTTAAATAAAAAGGATATTTAACTTTATTTCATAAGCTTTTATATTCATTTTTGTACTGAATGTTTTATTTATAAATGTACTTTGTTCATTAAGTTTCCCAAACTAACTGTAGGGCCTGAAAATAATTAATTTTAAGTAGGTATCAGAATCAGAAATTTAGAGCAGCATCAGGAATTGTTATCAGAATCGGTAAAAATATTGGTGTCATCCTCTCTCACTCACTCACTCACTCACACACACAGAGATATATATTCGAAAATTATAACAAATGTTATAAAACCACTACAAAAATAGCCATTTTGTTTCAACACCATCACTTGATAAAACACCAGAAGTGTTGAGACAAAATGGCTATTTTTGTAGTGATTTTATAACATGTTACAATTTTCAAATAAATTGTATTTGCTCTATTCTGTATCAAGCACTCAATTAAGAATAGTATTTTTTTGGTTATTGGAATTTGTTCTGTATACACCAATCCTATACTTGTATATATATATATATATATATATATATATATATATATATATATATATATATATATATATATATAGGTAGTAATTTTTTCATTAATGCATGTTTCATTAAATAATATAGGCAAGTTTTGTCTATTTATTTTAAGTAAGTTCCTTTCATATTGTCTGATAAGCTTAATAACATCATCATTGAAAGACAAAAGGAAATCGCCATATTGACACATGTTTAAATCCAATGTAAGCCAAAAGCTTAGATAAGCCATTATCAAAGATGACAATTACATTTCAATATATCAAACAATACACGGACGAAACAATAATGATAGTCTGTTTTTGTTGCATGAAAATTTTCAAAGCAACGACAAACTCGTGTATATGAGACATGGAAACAAAAATTGTGTTGCAGCTTCTTTCTTTTCTTTGTCTTCTTTCTTTTCTTTGTCTTCTTTCTTTTCTTTGTCTTCTTTCTTTCTTTGTCTTCTTTCTTTGTCTTCTTTCCTTTTGTTCTCTTTTGTTCTCTTTTTTTTTTTCTTTTTTTTCTTTTTTTTTTTTCTTCGTCTTCTGTTGTATGTGAAACAATGACTGCCTCAAGACTCAAACCTGGTTAAGCACACATATTTCTATATAAAGAAAATATATCCAAATGGACTAATTCTAAAAATTTCCTGTTCTACTCTATTTATTACAAGAACATTTTCTATAGCTAGAAGTTTTATTTTAAGTCTTGTAAGGAATAGAAAAAGCAGATGAAAGTTTATCAGCAAATATTTTTTCAGTTTTATTTTGCAAGATTTTTCCTCATTGCTGTAATAATTTACACCCCATTGTCACATGAAAAAGTATTTGTAATATTTCCAAACATGGACATTGAAAAAGAACTTTCTTCCTTCTCTTTCTTTTTACACCTGTATTTTTTTACTAATATATGCTGTCACTCTTTGACATTTGTTGTATATTTGCTATTGGCATTTTATTTCTGTTTATTTCCATAGCACATTTAAAATTGTTGTCAATATAAATGTTTATATAATGGTAATCTCTACATACAAATCATGAAATTTTCACCTAATCTTTATAAAAATACAACACATCTTATTTAAATAGGAAAATTAGGAATAACTAATGTGGGACAGTGAAAGATATACCAATTACAATATTATAATTATCTTGGAATGATTCAATTGTAAAGGTATAACCCATCCATTTTATAGGCATAGAGGAAGCATTTTGTTTTTTTGGGGGTGGGGGTATTATTCTCAAATAATCCTTATATAGATTTTGATCAAAAATTACCATGGTGAACTGTAAAGTATTTTAATTTAAAAAAATGTCACACAGTTAAGTTTTAAATGTGTTAAATTTATATAAATTTTCACAAAATTAGAAACCTACTATGCTAATAAGTACTTTTTAAGCATTCCTCAATAAGAAATATAAAATTTGTGATGAGATTATGGTATTTATGATGAAAATGAATTTTTTTTTCTTTAGATATGTGTACATTAGTATCAGTTATTTTTTTTTTTTTAATTTTATTCAAAGCAATGTTATTTTGTATTTATATTTCTAAAAGTTTACTTTTAAACATTATCACAAAATAAATTTTCAGTTTCTATAAAACATTATTTATTTTTCAGAACCAAATGCCTGAATGAAAAACGTAGAAGAGAACAGGAGAATACATATATCGAAGAACTTGCGGAGTTAATCTCAGCAAGTGTCACCGATATGAGCTCATTCTCGGTCAAGCCTGATAAGTGTGCAATACTGCAAGAGACAGTTAACCAAATCAAGCAGATCAAGAACGGTAAGTAGAATAAATAATTTATGATACTAAGTTTATTAATGGCTTGACCTGGTTTTATTTAATTGATTAATCAGAAATAACATTCCAAGAAATTAAAGATTCATACTTTTAATCTTAGCTGAAAATTTTGATAAAATGCAGTTTTAAAGTATCCTTTTATTTAAAATTATAAAATTGTAATTGCCAGTAATATAAAATTATTCTCAAAAGTATTTTCAGATCAGATTGAAAAAATTCAATTAGGAAAATTGTTTTCACAAAGATGTTTTTTTTTTCTCTATTTTCTACCCACTAATTGAACAATCATACAGATACTTTTTTTTAATAGCATTTTGGACATTTTCCAAGATTAAAAATGCTTGAAACTTATTTGTGTGGTTGTACATACAAAAGTACCTCCACCTCACCAGTGAAATTGTTTTAACAAAAGTGTATATTGGTTTGAAACCTCTGCATAAATAACTTTACATTCTGATCACTAACTTTACTCATTTTTAGACATATTTTACACTTTTATCTTTTATAATTTGATTTCAAGGTATTTCTTCACACTTTTGACTGATTTCAGCAATGTGCAAAACAGTAATTCTGTGCTCTTTTTACCTAATACTATATTTATAATACTTCTGTTGCTTTACTTGTACATGTTTGTATTTCTTAGAATGAAAAATTTGATTATCATTGCATAAAGAGTTCCAAGCCCACCAAATATAAACTTGAATAAAATATTTTTAACTAATTGAAATTGTGTTAAAATTACTTCACATAGTAATAAAATAAGTAGCTTCATTTTGAGTGTTAAGTTTGTTCTTTTGTAAATATTGATATGGAGTATATAATTGTGTTTTGTTATTTGGACCAACATGCTCATCCTGGTTGTTATAACTCTCTAAGACTGGGACACCCACATAGAAGCTAATTGTGTGAGATTTTATTTTAATCTCAAGTGTTTTGTTTTATAATTCTGAGATATGGTCTTCAAAGCAAGTCACCCACTTGACCAAAATAGAATAAATAAATGAAAACTTCTAGGATCAAGCAACAATGAATCAGACATTTTTTCCTGTGGGTCTATACTGGGATTGAACTCGGTTCTGAACTGACTTTTCGCATAGACAGGCTATCTCTTGGGCAGTTCCATTACCACTTGTTCAAGTTACCAGTTGCACATCATAATGTTGGTATTAGTGGAGAGTTGGTAGGTGGAATAGTTGAATGGAAGAGCTGATATGATACTAATATGGCAGAAGCTGTCCAAAGTGTTGCCTACCTACCTACACACCCACCCAGACCATGCAAGTCAAATGTTGGAAATGGGGTTTGAGTCCTTATTTCTTACTGTGGTGTTTTTCATCTTTTGGTACCTTGTGAGCTTGCAATGAGCCTTCCCAGTTTTTGGCACAATGGGAATGGAAACATAATGAGATAGTTATTGGTAAGATGGACGAAGGTCACATTGTTTACAGTTTATACCTGTTTTGGTCAATGAGCCATCTGAACGTCTTCATATTCAATAACCTTAAACTTTTTAACCAAACCCTTTATTCAATCCACAGGTAAATTGTTCCACTTTCCATGCTTAGTGGATATTTTGTATCAGTTAGTATTCTTATTCACCTTTTTGTCTCTTGTTTGTTTATTTCACTGAATCAAAGTGACTTTTCAATGCTAACAAACCCGGGGAACTCAATATATTTTAACCAATATTTTAAGCCACAAGTTCATGAATCTCTAGGACAATGTAGCATTGAAATTCTGAAGCCTTCAACCTGTTGTCTGTTGGTGTGGTTATATGAATGTCCTAACTTAGGTGGGGAAATACTTTTTTACTGTTAAACTCCCAGAAGGTATTCACCTCTCTATGCCAGACCTGCTGAGACAGTTTTTGGTGCCTAACATGTGCTCTGATTCTTTCAGTTGTCTTACTCTCTAGTGTTGTTCTGATATCTGGATATGGTAGACCTGAAAAGTCACCAACTCTGGTTCAGTAGGGGTGGGGGAATGAACAAGTGATTCAAAGGCAAATAAGATGAGTGACTACTAATATGAATTATCTCCTATTCATGGAAATAAAACTCTCTACCTCTATGGACCAAATAAAGGCTTTGGTTCAAAATTCCAAGGAGATTACCAAGTACAAAAAGACACTCAAAGAAGGCTGGAAGTTATAATGACAACTTTGTGAGCATAACAGCCAAGGTAAGCATGTTGGTTATGTAAGTGTATACTTTCTCATCTTAAAAGTTCTAGCAAAAATTATGGTGTATATAATGTTGCTAAATATGAAAAGTTAACATTAACTTCAAGAAACATTTATTTCCACCAATTTTAAAATATTTTTATATCTTCAGTACCTGGCCACCTATTAAGAACATATATTTAATTTTAAGAGAATGTGTATGCATATATTTTTAAATTTCATATCTCAACTTTGAAATACTTGAAATCTAATTTAGCACTTATTTTGTGGTATTTGTTTATTTTTTATCTTTTTAATTAGCTAACAGCAGACAAGGCTACCACTGGATTGTCTACAATTATTACTAATGTTTAATTTTGGGAAACGTTTTTTGTTTTTTTTTCTCAAGGGTTAATTCATATAACCTCAGTTAATAGAACATATTGTCAATAAGAATTTAAATGTAGGTCAGAACAATCTATGGAAAAACTTTGCTGTTTTCATGGAGAAAGCTCAAAATTCAAATTAAGATTTTTTTAAAAGCACTTTGCCTGATACCAAACCATGTTGTTTGTGAAATAATTCAAAATGAACTGCAGCTACCATTCCAAATTTTTTGTGACACCAAAAACGTTTTCATCAGCACACAAATAGAAGACCCAACTTCTATAACTCATCTGTGTTAACAATTGCTATTAATATTCAGTTTTCATTGGCAGCTTTTTTGTTGTTGTTGAAGCATGATATTTTGATTGCACATTTCCAGTGAAGTTCATACTAACATTATAAGAGCTAGCTAATACTTCTTGCTTTCCACTCAATTTTGCATTTAATTTTTTGGGGATAAATAGCAATCATTATATTCTGATTTCTTAGTTCCTATTTTATTCTCTCACATTCAGTACCCTCACACCTTGTCTTAGTGGCTTTATTGCCTTACTTGGGGTGAGTTATATAGAATAAAACTGTATTGATTACTTTAGAGTTAGTTTACTGAGTTGTTACCAACATGGATATCACAACTGGCAGCACTGAATATTACTGTTATATTTTGTTTGTTCTGCTGTCAATTCTAACAAAATGTTTCAAGTACAAACATTTTTGTTTATAGAGAATGTAAACTCTGTTAACAATAGAATATATTCATCTGATTAAAAATAGTATTTATTTAGGATGTATTTTAAAAAAAGACATTTTCCAGATTTTTATCAATCGTATTTTATAACTTGTTAAGAAAAAAAAATCTCATCCTTGCATCTCTCATCTTTATTTTTTTTCCTCCTCTCCATTCTGTTGGATATTTTCATTTTATCCAGTTTAAAAATATTCAATTATAAATTATAATCAGGGCTGCGGAGTTGGAAACAACAAAACTATACTGACTCTCTCCAGTTGAATTTATGCTGCATGTAAAAAGTCTTACGTTATAGAATTTTTGTTATTATTTCTTCTATTGTATATTTACTATTTCCTTTAAAAAACAGTTGAGATAAATTTCTTTAAAGTCATTTTATTTTTTTTGTAGTTATTTTGTATTTACAAAACTATATATGTGTTGAAACTTGGATAAGCATGGAATAATAATAATACAACACAAAATGTACGTTAACAAAATGTATTGAAACAAGGAAAAGGTACACAATATTTACAGTTAGTTTTGGTATATTCTTGGGAAGACTGTTCCTGCAGAATGGGTTGACTAAATCGCAGTCGGGCAGAGTCTCTGGATTGGATCTTCTTCTATCTCTCTTTCCGTCTTCCGGTACCAACCCATATTTATATGGTCGGTACTCCACTTATGTAAATTAGGTGTATCATACACAACACCCTCCTCCCAAGCCTTGGAATCCCTTTTGGATTTCAAATTGGCTTCCTATATGGGTTGATGATTATGGCTATTTCTTTGTAGATCCATTTGCCTAATTTTAATATTTTTCCGTTTTGGATTCACGTTCAATGGGTCCGTCAACTTCCGTTTCCTACCGGATCTTCTTGGTTCAGGTGTATTCTGTGGAGGTTCTACCTGAAACATATCATACATTATATCAATGGGATCTTCGTCCTCATCCGGTATACACTCTTCTTGCTCTATACCGTAATCTTTTTAAGTTGGTTTTGGTGCCTTTTATGAGTATTCTTCGCCCTTTAATTATGTAAATCAGGTCACCGATTCTCTTGTCCACTATGCCTCGTTCCCAGAACTCAACGTTGTTTTTTATAGCACTTGAAAAACACCTTCTCTCCGGGAGTGTATCTTTTTTCTCGCTGTATACATGGTTTTTTTTACTCTATTTTTTCCTGGCAAAAGCTTGTCAAACACTGACTTAACTTTCCTAGCGAACATTAGTTCAGCTGGTGCCATGTTTGAGTGTGTTCTCTGGTTTGGCGTGATTCTGTATACTTGTAAGAATTGCTGAAGCGCCTTTTCCGTTGGAACTCCTGAGGCTTTCTTCAGAGCTCGCTTTAAAGTATCGACAAATCTTTCTGCGAGTCCATTAGACCTCGGATGATACGGAGGCGTCGTTATGTGGTTAATTTGATATAACTCACAAAATTCCTTAAATTCTTCAGAAGTGAATTGTGTACCATTGTCACTCACAATACACTCTGGCACACCGAACCGTGCAAATAGTTCATGCAAAAAAGTTGTTGTGGTATTGGACGTAGGCTTTTTACAGCGTAGTACTTCCGGCCATTTTGTAAAACTATCTACCACTATTAAGTAGTAAAAATCTTCTACTGGACCAGCGAAATCAATGTGTAATCTTGTCCACGGATGATCCGTCTTTGGCCATGGTTTGTGTACTATAGGTGGTGCCTT